AATCGAGGACCGCCCACCTCCGGACGTGGTACATGGCTGGCATAACGTGTGAATCAGCTAGGTTGATTGCCGTATCAACCGATAGAACGACTGACATCTCCAGAAAACTTGTTTGTACGTGCCTCTTTCCCCAAGCCAGCCTCCTTCACTGCTAGTGGGAAAGAGGGTTTTGTTAACGGTTTTTCTCAGTTTTTTCTCCACTGTCGTTCCACTTCGCATCTCTATACTCAGTTTCAATCGCCATAATACCCCCTTATTGAGCCCGACTTTTTAAATAAGTCTATTACGTGTCATGAACGCTCTCATCCTTATCCAAGTATTGGAGAAACAATGGAGTGCCGCCCCCCCCCCCCCGAACTGGAGTTTCACCAATTTATATATACCAATTCGTTGCTCTGTTTTTCGGAAATCCACAATTTGCGTTCCAGTTTACAATCGAAATTGGCACGTATCTTCCGAAAAGGAATACTGAAAGCGGCTCGGTCAACAGATGCTTGGATAATCACATCCGGATTGAACACCGGCGTTGTACCGCACGTCGCATCGGCTCTTGAAGGTAAATCTATGAGTTCTTGACTCTGATTATTGACACGCTTTTCACTGTGCATGAAAATAGAAACTCATCTTCACAAGTCAAGCATTATATCTGGCCGTAAATCTATCGTTAAAATTTAATTAGATTTTACTTTGACTCAATTTTATCCGCTTTCATAGATCTCGGTTCAACGTCACGATCTCGGACCCGAGTGATCGCAATAGGTGTGGCGCCATGGGGCATGCTCAAACGAAGGAATCGCTTCATTGGGACGGTAAGAGGCCTATGGTGGTAAAAGCCTTTAGTAGTTGCTTCATCTACAATAAATGCCGAAAATCATCTTCCAGGACAAGTCGGTTCATTACGCAACAAATCAGTTCAACAAGTCAAGGCTGGCTGAACTGAATGATCGTCATTCTTACTTTCTGTTCGCTGACAATGGAACAGTCGGAAGGTACAGTTTCACTAGTATTCTCAATTGTTCAATTCTCATTGTTATGTATCTGAATGATTCATAATAAATTTCTGAGCCTTAAAATTATTTGGCAGCCTAAGAGGCAGGGAACATCGGGAATGGTAGACCTGACCCTTAAAGGAATCCTTCTCGGAAAAATCGTGATTCTACCAATAATTCACTGGCTCGGGACCTATCGTTTACGATAAGAATGAAAAGAACAAAAAACTGCATCTTGGTAAAAATTCGAAAAACCGGAAAGGCTGCTACGCGTTCCAAGTACCGCCGGACATCTGTCACAAATGCTGGCGACGGGATGCTTCCACTTGGTTCTTGGAGTGCCTGTCACTAGACTTTTCTGGACCTTTTGACTTATTGCATTAACATCTCACACTTCTACTGCATCCTATTCTAT